GTGTAGGGATACGCTCTTGCTTCCAAAATCTAGCTAACAAAATTCTAGCAGTTGTAAGTATATAGATTATCATGTATTTATCTTTCCATTTGTAATTTTCCGGTATCATATTTAACAGGAGAATTTCAGGTAACAACTCAGTTTTGATGTTTGTTATTTCTATAATAATTTTCTGTATCATCTTCCAGACTCCTTGGCCTTTCTTCATCGGAAAGGTGCTCCAGGCGCATAATCGTCTTGGTTGCCCTCCTCTGGACTTTTTCCATGGTAGATTTCCCCTTAGTTTCCCTGCCCAAGACCTTTGGCAGTAGCCACTCCCTGTGCCACCAGGACTTTTTCATATTTTTTTTTTAAGCTGGCAATTGAATATCATTGTAATGTTATTGAAATCCACATATCGGATTCTCTGAATTCCCAGAAGTCTCCAGCCACCATCATTGCAGAGTGAAAGCTCGCTTTGTCAGACTTTTGACTCTTGAAAGCTCATATCCCCCAAATCTTGTTGGCCTTTAAAGTGCTAGGTAAAAGGTAAAGGTTCCCTTGCTCGAAAGCCAGTCGAATCCGACTCTAGGGTTGCGGTGCTCATCTCCGTTTCAAAGCCGAAGAGCCAGCACTGTCCGAAGACGTTTCTGTGGTCATGTGGCCGGCATGACTAAACACAAAGGCGCACGGAACGCTGTTACCTTCGCACTGAAGTGGTACCTATTTATCTACTTGCAATTTCTTGCTTTCAAACTTAGGTTGGCAGGAGCTGGAACTAGAGACGGGAGCTCACTCCGTCATGCGGCACCCGGGTCTCGAACTGCTGAACTACTGACCTGCCACAGCCTGCAGTTCAGCGTCTTCACCACTTGAGCCACCGCAGCTCCTTTTAAAGTGCTACAGGACTCCAATCTAACTGTTTTACAGCAGACCAATGTGGCTACCCTTGGAACTGCAGACATGCTTTCCCGCTTCTGTCTCCACAATGAAAGAGCCTAGACTTACTCTCTTTTTTAAAAGAAGTAAAACCTGGGAACTCAGAGAACCCCTGACACAGATTGCTATAACGTTTTAACAATATTCAGTTACCTATCAAAAAACAAAAGAGCACCAACAGTGGCAGGAGGAGGAGGAAACGGGTACTGCAGGGTACAAAAAATGGCCGCCAATCTGGGTGGGCCTGGGAAAGCAAGCTTTCTTACCCACAAAGCCACAATCCGAGGCTTTGCTGCAATACTTCCTAGAACCTCATGGCAAAGCAGGTTTGGGAAAGCTCAGAGAAACGTCAAGAGAAACCCTGCTTCCCCGAAGCTGTGCAGAAGCGGGGGGAAACCACCGCTGAACCCGGGGCAAATAGCCTGTGTGGAAATGGCCTCAGTTAACAGTTAACCTCGCCATGCTCCCAGCCCCGGGAAAGCAAAGTCTGCCTCATGGCGGGGAGGGGGTGTAATTGTCTTCACACACGGCTTACTCTCCACAGGCAGAGAATCGGCACAGTGTCAGGATGTAAAATTTCCAGAAATTTTGAAGCTCGGAAAAAAACCTGTTTTTTTCCCGAAAAAAAACAGAAATTTTTGGGAAAATTGAAAAAAAATGCTACATTAGCATTTTTTTTGTCTTTTCTAGTTTGAAAGTCATTCTGTTACTTTAGGAACATAAAATATGACTATGGACATTTTTACTTGGCATGAAATTATCACAACTAGCATATTAAAAATATAGTGTATCCAAACAATTATTACAGAATACCCACCCACATGCAAAAACAAAACCGAAACCTTTTTATTTTCTTCTGAGAATCGCACCTCCTAAAGGAAGAAATGCATCTTGTTCCTGCATTGGAGAGTTCAGTTTGTAACCTAGGACTTGCTTGTCCTCAGTGCACAGAAATTACATCAATCTGATACCATATATATATATATTTTAGAAATGATTTGGAAAATATTTGAACACCTGGTCTTAAAATATTTTATTCATCATGTTAAAATAAAACCTTCCATAATCATTTTTTTTCCTTTTCTTTTTTCAATTTTTGGGAAAAAAACAAAAAGGCTTCATGAAAAAACGGGGGGGAAACAGGTTTTTCCTGAATTTTTCCGGGCCTTCACATCTCTAGTCAGGACTGGCAATGTCAAGCTAGAACGGTGATGGTAGAATGTGCTGTCAAGTCACAGCTGACTTATGGCAACCCCGTAGGTTTTTCAAGGCAAGAGACATTCAGAAATGGTTTGCCATTTCCTCCCTCCGTGCCACAACCCTGGTATTCCATGGAGGTCTCCCATCCAAATACTAGCCAGGGTCGGCCCTGGTTAGCTTCCCAGATCTGACGAGATTGGGCTCGCCTGGGCTACCCGGGTCAGGGCCAAGCCAGAGTATCTGATTCAAATCCGTGCTCAGTCACCGGGCTGGCTCACGCTAGTTACCCTCCCCTTCTCTCAGCCTGATCTACCTGGCAGGGCTGTTGTGAGGATAAAAGCGGAAGAAGGGAGAAACCCTGTCCCCCTGCCCCAACCTCCCTGGAGGAGGAGCTGGAGAAAAAATGCAAGAAATGAACCTGCCCCCGGCCTGTTTGCTCAATCTGAGGCATGTGAGTTTTGCCAGAGGAGGCAAGAGAATCTGCAACCAGTTTTAACATGCCTGCTTCTTCTTCTGTTTTAAAAAAGCTTTATTTAACTCTGTCTCCCCATGAAAAGCAGCTTGTAAACATTAAAAAAAAAATCCAGAACAGTCGAAACAAAAACAAGCTAAAATTATAGACGGGGCACTAAAGATAGTAGGAGAAATGCAATCAAACAATTGAAAACAGACTTAGGAAGTTCTTAAAACCCGAGAATCACCCCCCCGTAAAACTGAGGATAAAAGCAGGGGACATTACCTCTTCCGCACGGTCATTTTTGTCCCTATTGCTTTGGGTCCCCCCCCCTTCCACATGTATTCTGCTCCCTTTGGGACTACTAGAGAGAGCAAAACACATGGGGGGGGGGAACCCCCCAAAGCAATAGGGACAAACGCCTTTCCCTCTTGGTCAAGCATTTGCTTTAGCTAACAGCCCGGCCAGTTAAGCATTACAAAGATGACTTCCCTGTCGTCGTCCCCCATATTACTTCAGTTTGCAATGCCTTTTCAGCGCTTGCAGTTGAGAAACCTGCGCGGGGGGGGGGGGGGGGGGGGGAGAGTCACGTTCCTTTAAAAACATCAGGCGCCCTCACAAGGCACTTCATGCAGCTTCAGGAAATGAATTAAAGGGGGGGGGGATGTGACAAACATGACAGGCCCTTCGGCCTCGTGATCTCTCCCACACAACGTTAAACTGCAGACAGCAGAAATTTAAATGGGAAGTTTCCGTGTGGGGAAAGTCAAAGCACTCACCGCAGCCTCCCAGGGACAGGAGTAGCAGACACCACAGGGGGGGAAAGAGACCGGATCCAGGCACCATCATGGCCAGCTGCAAAGCAGAGCGCAAAAGGGGAAGTCTGTCAGCCGAAAGGTGAACTCCAACATCAAAGGGGTTTTTTTAAGCATACGCACACACTTGAAACACTTCCAAGACAACAAGCGCAAAGAAGGAGACTACAGCCTTTATTCTCAACGCAATACAATAGCAACTCTAACCCAAAGTTGACAACAACAACAAAAAAGCAAATGCTATTGAGACACAATGCTTGCATTATTCTAGAACGTGCACGTGTGTACGTAGCCAGGGCCTGCACACCAATTTAAAAGCACACACATTTTATTTTTTTGCTATGGAATAAAAGAAAGAAGAGAAGAAGAAGAGATTGGATTTATACCCCACCCTTCACTACCCAGAGGAGTCTCAGAGCAGCTTACAAACTCCTTTCCCTTCCCCTTCCCACAACAGACACCCTGGGAGGTAGGTGGGGCTGAGAGAGCTCTGACAGAAACGGCTCTTTTTCAAGAACAGCTCTTATCAGAACTATGGCTTGCTCCAGGTGCAAGTGGAGGAGTGGGGAATCAAACCCGGTTCTCCCAGATTAGAGTCCACGCACTTAACCACTACACCAAACTGGAAAGGAGTCCACCAAAGGAGTCACCAAAATGGAAAGGAGTCTAAGCTGATAGTGACAGGATTGAGGGGGGGGGGTTACCCTGATTTTGCTTTTACTTGTGCCTAGACCCCCCCCCCTGCACACTGTCCCGTGAAACTAAGCCCAGATGCCAACTGACGCTGCTACGACTTCAGAGCTTCTTGCTTTGGCATGGCATAGCCCTCTGCCTGGCAAGGAATCAGGGAGGCCGGTGCTGGCTGCTGGAGGGGGGAAATGCCCTGACCCTTTAAGGGCAGCTTCAGGCACAGGGATGGGCAGGTGCAGTTTTTCATGGCATGGTGAGTCACATCCTGGTGAATCACTTCCCTGGAGGCCTCTATGGAGGGGGCAGGGCAATGTTTTACTCCAAGCAGTTAAGTCAGGTTGCCAGGTGTGTCCCCTCCCCCCCCCTACGGCCACTGGTGGGGGTAGGGTTGCCAGATCCAGGGTGGGGCCGGGGGAGGACATTGCCTTACAGCTCACCCTCCAAAGTATCTCTGTTCTCCTGGCGAATTGATCTCTGTCGTCTGGAGAGGAGCTGGAATTCCAGGGGATCCGCAGGTCCCACCTGGAGGCTGGCAACCAGTTGGCTACCCTGGCCGGGGCACAGGAGAAGAACCCCCTGATTTGGGATTGTCAGCACTAGCGGCCAGGAAAGAAGAAGAAGAAGAAGAAGAGATTGGGTTTATACCCCGCCCTTCACTCAGAGTCTCAGAGCGGCTTACAAACGCCTTCCCCTCCCCACAACAGGCACCCTGTGAGGTAGGTGGGGGCGAGAGAGCTCTGACAGAAACTGCTCTTTTTCAAGGACAGCTCTGAGAGAACTACGGCTTGCCCAAGATCATCCAGCAGGCGCAAGTGGAGGAGTGGGGAATCAAACCCGGTTCTCCCAGATTAGAGTCCACACACTTAACCACTACACCAAACTGGCTACACCAAACTGGCAAGAAGAAGAAGAGATTGGGTTTATACCCCCGCCCTTCACTACCCAAAGGTGTCTCAGAGCGGCTTACAAACGCCTTTCCCTTCCCCTCCCCACAACAGACACCCTGTGAGGTAGATGGGGCTGAGAGAGCTCTGACAGAACTTGTGACTGACCCAAGGTCACCCACCTAGCGGCATGCGGAGTAGTGGGGCATCAAACCCGGTTCTCCCGGATTAGAGTCCGCATTGTTAACCACCACACCAGACGGGCTCTCCTCTGCATCGCCACTTCCAGAGCCAAGGCACAGCACGTTCGGGGAGAGGGAAGGACCTGGTGCTTTTGGTGGGGTGGGGGGCGCATTCCAAGCAGGAGGAAAACTTAGTGCACAGCCTAGATATCAGGGCATGGGATGCTGGAGAGGCGAGAGTGTCCGACTACGGGCTCTCCGAGAGAACCAGCTTCACCTGCACCTCTCCCTGCCCAGCCAGCCTACTTCGCAGGGCTGTCGCCGAGGCCGAGGGAGAAAACCGCCCCGCCACGAGCTCCTTGGACGGGGAACAAAGAAGAACACAAAAGAGCTACACAGATAGGAAAGCACAGGCATGTAATACGATGCCCGAGAGAAGGCACAACACCGCTTTTACAACTACGAATCCCATCATGCAACGGGGCGGCACAGCGCCCGAAACCTACGATAGAATGCCGCTATGCACGCTGGGAATTGGAGTCCGCCAACATCCCGCGCGCAAACCGAGGTTCGGCTGAACGACGTCTCTTTGAGAGGTCGCGGCTTACCTGGGAGGACCGCCGGCAGCGCCTCGCCTTCTGCCCGTCCCGCGGTCTCGACTGCCCAACAAAGCCGACCTGCCGTCACCCTGGAGACCGCCCTGTATAATAAGCCGCCGCCAGACCTTCCGCCTCTCGCCCGCCGGCCACTGGCGCCATCTTGGGTGTGGCGGTAGTGACGGAATTCCAGTTTGTTCTTTTCTCGTCTAGGGTTGCCTTCCTCTCATAACGCCCAACGGGGGAAGGGCTTTAGGTAAAAATTCGAGGCGATTTGGGGCTCTTTGAAAAGGTTGCCGGGGTAGAGAGGGGGCTACACCTGAGTGGCGCCACGCCCAACATGGCCGCAGCGTGAGCCCGCCATCTTGGGTGTGTCGCCTGGGCCGTTGTTGTGGTCCAAAGTTCGCATTTGCTGAGCAGTTGCGTGTCCTCCTCGGCTGCGTGTGAACTTATCAAGTGTACCCTCTTCCACGATCGTAGCCCGCGGTTTTGGGGCGGAGAAGCTTTGGCACTGGCAAGAAGCCTCCATTCTTGGGACAGTCATCAAAGCCATGCAATGTGATAAACTTGACCAGACAAATGTGGTGACCAAACTTTTCTTCAGCCGGTGTGTTTGAGAGAACCAACACTGTTTGCCTGCCACCCTCTAGTTACTCTGGCCGTGGACCATGCAGAAGCCTTCTCAGACGGATGCGGGTTCAAATCCTGCTGTGCCTCATGGTCCTGGGCATGCGTGTGTGCTGGGAATAGATATGGGCACCACATCTGTGAAAGTGGCTTTGGTGGAAGAGACGGACCAAGGGCCAGCGGTGATCGAGAATTGCACTAAAGAGACGCAGGCACAGGTGGAGAGCCAGGCTGCTGGGCTGCAGGTGAGCTGGCTGAGGCCAAGACTGGTGGTGGTGGACCCTATTTCTTAGAACAAAGTTTGCGTCCGGGGGCACCTTTTAAGACCAGCAAAGTTTTATTCAGGGTGTAAACTTTTGTGCACATGTACACTTCTTCAGATACGTTGAAGTGGAAGTTACCAGTCCATACGTATAGGTAGGTTCGTGATTCATACTGAATGTATGCAGAGGAATGAGAGAACACAGAGTGGGCTGCCCTGCGCTGGGTTGTGAGTGTCAGGTCGCCTTTTGAGAGGCTCTCTTCTATGAAAAGCTCCTCGCAAACAGAGAACTAGCCCAGCAACCAAAGACAAAGGGGAATCCTTCTTCCCTGCCCTGTTAGATTTCTGCTTGCAGGGAGCTTCTAATGCAAAGCAACGTTCAAAACTAGAATCCACCACCTGCAGCCTGAAGGGGTGTCATTTGAATCCCGCCACCTCTGTGTTGTAACCCTTTGTTCTGCACGCCTGAGCCGGGCTTATTTAACACTCACTGCCCAACCTGTCCTGGAAGAAAACAGCAATGCACTTATATCACCTAGATTTCAATTCTGTGCACATATATGTGGGAGTAAGGCCAACTCTATTCGGTAGGCTTACTTCTGAGTAAGGTTCAGGCTGCACATGGACTAAGGATTTCTGCCCAGGGCTGCACCTTTCTCACCCCTGAAGGCCAAATTACATGGTAAATCTACCACGAGATTGCCATGGGAACTTGCCACCACATGGTAGCCGCGAGTGCCCCGTGGGAACTCAATTCGGAAGTGCCACCGGGGCCTCATTCCGATTGGGACCATGGCACAGAGGGAGGAGGGAGTCTTGCCTGCCCCCTGTGCCCTGCTTCTGGTCTGAAGTGGCCTCACAGGCCATTATTTGGCCCATGAGGGGGCTGCGCATGTAAATGTGCAGCACAAGCATTCTTCCTAATCATTCCACTGACGAAGGCACTGTCTTGTTTGTTCTGCCACAGTTTGTCTTCAGTGACCGCAAAGGCAAAAATGTTCTCTGATTTGCTTATAAGTATGCTAGAAAAACAAAGCTCCTTAAGCAAACACCTTAAAGACGCATTAAAGGCACATTTTATTCCGGCATACGCTTTCGCGGACTGGAGCCTGTATCTTCAGATGCTCCAGTCTATGAATATTTACACTGGAATAATATTTTGTTCATCGCTCAGGTGTTGCAAGACTCCAGTTTGTTTTGCTGCAACAAATCAACAGGGTTTCCTCTCTGCAATTATAGTCTGTTATTGCCAGGTTAAATGTACTTCTCCCAGGTGCAAAATGACAGGGTGTGCCATACCTAGTGTCTTAATGTGTCAGTGCTGGTTCTAGGGGCCCCCTTCTGCCCACCCCAGGCCTGCCACAAGAAAACAAGAACACTAGAAGAGCCCTTCTGGATCCAACCAGTAGTTCATCTCGTCCAGCATCCTGTCTCACAAAGTGGCTAACCAGTTCTTCCGGAGGGCCAACAACAGGGCAGGGAGGCCGAGGCCTTCCCCTGATGCTGCCTCCTGGCTCTGGGGCTCAGAGGATTAGTGCCTCTGAATGTGGAGGTGCCCCTCAGCCACCATGGCTAGTAGCCACCGATCGACTGATCCTCCATGAATCTATCTAATCCCCCTTTAAAGCTGTTTTATTCCTGTGGCCATCCTCCGGCAGCAAATTCCACATTTTAATCACTCTCTGGGGAATGATGCATTTCCTTTTGTCCGTCCTGCACCTGCTACCTATCCGCTTCATTTGGGAGAGAGAGGAAAATTTCTTTTTGTCAACTCTCTCCACCCCGTGCATAATTTTATAAACCACTATCATGTGTCGTTCCCCCCCCCGTCTCTTTTCTAAACTGAGGAATCCCAGACTCTTCAGCCTCTCCTCCTAGGGAAGGCGCTCCAGCCGCCTAATCATCTTGGTTGCCCTCCTCTGTACTTTTCCCAGCTCTGCAGTGTCCTTTTGGAGATACAGGGAACTGCACACCGTATTCCAAATGAGGCCGCACCATAGATCTGTACAGGGGCATTACAGTATCGGCCATTTTATTCCCAGTCTCTCCTACTAATCCCTAGTGTAAAGTTTGCCCTTTTCACCCCTGAGGACACTTGGATTGACAGTTCCATTGAGCTATCCACTGAGACCCCAAGATCTTTTTCCCTCTCAGTCTCTGGAAGTTCAGACCCCTTTAGCCTATACTTGGGCATCTTTTATCCCAGTGTGCATCGCCTTACACTTACCAACACTAAACTTCATTTGCCCACTCACCCAGCCTGTGGAGGTCCTCTTGGAGCGCTTCACAGTCAGCCTTGGTTTTCACCATCCTAAATAATTTGGTGCAGGGGTCATTTCGTAGAAAAAGAGGTGCAGGAGGGTCATTAGCATAACTCATTAGCATAACTTATTTGCATATGCCGCACCCCCTGACATCACCGGAAGTGTGTCAGAAGGCAACACTCACCGCTCAGGCTCCACTGGCCTCTTTTGGATTGCTAGCTATTGTGGGGGGGAACGTGCAGATCTGTCCTCACAGAGGGGGGAGAGCTTTTACCTGAATAAAACGTGGTCTTAAAGGTGCCACTGGACTGTTTTGGACCGAGGGGCTGGGGGGAGCTCTGCAACTTACCTGGCTGCTTCTTGCTCTGACTGAGGGCTGCTCGGAGCAGGGGGTGGGGCTTGTTCCATGTGCCCGCCCCCTGGGCTCTTTACTGCCGGAGCTCCGCTCCTGTGCGCTCCTGCAGGAAATGACCCCTGATTTGGTGTCATCTGCAAACTTGGCCACTACACTACTCACCCCTAGTTCTAGATCATTTATGAACAAATTAAATAGCACCAGCCCCAGTACTGATCCTTTTGGGACCTCACTGCTTACTTCCTTCCATTGTGAGAACGGCCCCTTCTCGTCCTCACAAGCCCTTCCACTATCTGCAACCACAGTAGCCTGCCCCATGTCCATGCCCCCGCTAGCCCTGCCTGTTGTGTGCAGCTGCTTTGACCATTAAGAAGAGCAGTCTGTGTGCAAAATATGCATGCCCTTCCTCATCAGTGCTGGGAAGCTGGGAGCATGGGAGGTGGAGTACGTGCAAGCGAATGGGCAGAGAAAAGCGCATGGACAGGTGGGGAGGGAGATGGACAGGTGGGGAGGGGGATCTATGGCAGTAGGCCCTACCAGAAGAACATAAGAGAAACCATGTTGGATCAGGCCAGTGGCCAAAACCCAGGTGCCATCAGAAGGTCCACCAGCGGGGCCAGAACTCCAGGAGCCCTCCCACTCTTGCCTCCCAAGCACCAAGAATACAGAGCATCACTGCCTCAGACATAAGAACATAAGAGAAGCCATGTTGGATCAGGCCAATGGCCCATCCAGTCCAACACTGTGTCACACAGTGGCCAAAACCCAGGTGCCATCAGGAGGTCCACCAGTGGAGGAAAAACTACAGAAGCCCTCCCACTGTGGCCCCCCAAGCACCCAGAATACAGAGCATCGCTGCCCCAGACAGAGTTTTCCATCTATACCTTGTGGCTCATAGCCACTGATGGACCTCTGCTCTGGGCCCAGGCAGCCGCCCCACCTCAAGATACGCTGGCTCAAGCCCTGGCATGGGCACATGCATTTCTTCATAATTTTTGCTCTTACAGGGGGATGAACAAGACGTTCGGAAAATCATCGCTGCCCTGAACGAATGCCTCCTGGCCCTCCCTCGAGAACGTCTGCAAGGGGTTTGCCGCATTGGAGTCTCTGGGCAGATGCACGGGATAGTGTTTTGGAAAGCTGGCCAAGGTGAGCTTTCCTGGTCGAGAAGCTCGGTTGTATTTTGGATCCCTCCCACCTTTTCCTTTGTGAGTGAGTGGCAAGGAGTTTAAAAATGCAAATAGTAATAATAGTTATAATAGTAGTAGTAGTAGTAGTAATAATAATTATTACTTGTTGTAGATTTTCCGGGCTGTGTGGCCATGGTCTTGGCCTTGTAGGACCTGACGTTTCGCCAGTAGCTGTGAGTGGCATCCTTAGAGGTAAAACTGTATCAAGGACACAGAGAGTACTCCATCTTTCTGTGTTTATACCTCTGAGGATGCCAGTCACAGCTACTGGCGAAACGTCGGGTTCTACAAGGCCAAGACCACGTCCAGACAGCCCGGAAAATCTACAACAACTAATGAACTCCGACCATGAAAGCCTTAGATGATGACAACAACTAAATAATAATAATTATTATTATAATAGGAAAATCGGGCCGCATGAGGAATTCCAAAGGGTGGGATGATTTGGAGGAACCATGGAGGGGACGATCTTACCGTACCTCCCCCCCCCCTCCATCTTTCCTTACAGGTTTCTCCAAGCTCTTAAAAGCCAGTTTGGTGTGGTGGTTGAGTGCGCAGACTCTAATCTGGGAGAACCGGGTTTGATCCCCCACTCCTCCACTTGCACCGGGCTGGATGACAGAGTGAGCTCCCGTCTCTAGTTCCAGGTCCTGCCAACCTAGCAGTTGGAAAGCAAGAAATTGCAAGTAGATAAATAGGTAACACTTCGGTGGGAAGGTAACAGCATTCCGTGCGCCTTGGTGTTTAGTCATGCCGGCCACATGACCACGGAAACGTCTTCGGACAGTGCTGGCTCTTTGGCTTGGAAACGGAGATGGGCACCGCAACCCTGGAGTCGGATTTAACTGGCTTTCGAGCAAGGGAACCTTTACCTTTTTAAAATAGTAATAATGTGCTGTCAATGTTTCGCTGATTATACAGGCAGCGTACTTGTAAGTTTTCCAGTTTCTTGATGTTCTTTGCACAAGCCAGCCATCAAAGCCGAGAGTTGGTGGTGATAGTGGAGTTAGTGGAGTTCTGGGGTTCCAGGGTCAGTCCCCAGTAAAAAGATCAGGTGTTGAAAGGAACTCTTCTGTGTCTGAAATCCTGAAGAGCCACTTCTCATTAGAGCAGGCAGTGCTGAGCTCGACAGGCCCAGTGGTCTGGTTCCGTTGTAGGGTAGCTCCAGGCATTGAGCTACACGAAGAGAGCAAGGCCGGAAGGAGCTGCCGTTGCCACTTAGAAAATCAGTTTCCTGAATGGATCGGTTGTTTCCTGTGTGAGAGCCAGGCCCTTAGCCAGAATTTTTTTTTTCCAGTCAGGGGGCATTTACCTTTTTAAGGGGACATTTAAATTACTGTTAGTTAAATCTGAATGCCTGTCTTTAAAGGGGAAGGCTCCGAGACTGTTTCTAGCTCTTCCTTTCAAGGGACGGGGCAGCCAGCACGTCAGGTCCTAGGAGGAAAACAGAGAGCATTTAATCGCCTTCAGGAGGCATTTAAGTGCTTTTTTAATTCCCTTCCATGGGGCAAGAAAGCTTAGAAGGGCACCTCCAATACATCTCCAACAATCCCCCTTTCTACTAGCCCAGTACTACCTAGGTCATGGTCAAAAATAAGGTTTCTGGCACGGCTATTTGTGGGGCGGGGCTTTTAATTAAGGGGGCAGGGGCCCCCAAATGCCCCGCCGTGGCTACAGGCTTGTCTGGGAGGATCCTTCTGAGACTCCTAGTACTCTGCAATGTGATCGTTTGAACGCTGAAACAAGGATTGCAAAATGTTTCCCAAATTGTTCAAGCAACTGCTGGAAATGTAAGACAAATGTAGGTTCATTTTTTTCACATGTGGTGGCGATGTGTAAAAATACAAAATTATTGGGGAAAAATTCAGAAAATTATAAGAGAAGTTGTAAATGTAGAATTGCCACTTAAGCCCGAAATCTACTTGTTGAACATGATCCCAAAGGAATATGGTTATAATGAGAAGTATGTGATGATTTATATTTTGGCTGCAGCTAGAATCCTTTGGGCTAAATATTGGAAGTCAGATAAATCACCACAAAGAGAAGAGTTAATATATAAATTAATGAATGTAGCAGAAGTCGATAAGTTGAATGTAATATTATACGGGAAAGATGAAAGGGTTTTTGAAAAGAGGTGGTCAGGACTGTATGAATGGATGGAGAAAGAGCGAAATAATAGACTCTAAAGGTATATTTATTTTTGTATATGTTTCTTGTTTCTTGTTAACAATACAAAAGCTTATAAATAAAACTTTTTAAAAAAGAGAGACTCCTAGTACTCTGCAATGTGATCGCTTGAACGCTGAAACAGTGTATGATTATTCGATCCGTCTGCCTGTTACATCATTTCCAGCTCTCTTGTTAGACCAAAACAAAACCTAAAAAAGTCATGCAAGTAAATTCTTAAATGGTGGTGCTTAATTTTTTACATTTCCAGAGTCTCCTGCTCTTGTTATGTGCTTGGCCTCTGGGTGTGTGTGTCCCCCCCCCGCCGCCCCATAGCTGTCTGTTCTTCTGAGTGGATTAAGCGGAACTGTACGCTCTTTGCTGTTAGCAATACCCTTTTTGTTGTGATGGCCTCTCTTCCTTTCAAGGGCTTGCTATTAATGTTGCTTCAAAGAGCCCATTTGAACACTAGGGAGATAAATGGGATGAAAAATATGGCTGAGAGGCTCTTAAAGGGAGGCAGGAGGAAATGAGGCAGAAACTTAACTTCCCCACCCCCTGTTTGTCTCCTTTATTTGCATTTTATGAAATGGGCCTTTCTCGGAGGGCTCGGCGCCTTCCCGTGGAGAGGCTGCCCTTGGGTGCAGTTTTTACCAGCCGGATCACTTCTCCTCTGCGCTCCCTTTCCTTCCTTCCCCTTCCCCTTGAAAGCCAGTGTGGTGTAGTGGTTAAGTGCGCGGACTCTAACCTGGGAGAACCGGGTTTGATTCCCCACTTCTCCACTTGCACCTGCTGGATGACCCTGGGCAAGCCATAGTTCTGTCAGAGGTGTCCTTGAAAAAGAGCAGTTTCTGTCTGAGCTCTCTCAGCCCCGCCTACCTCACAGGGTGTCTGTTTTGGGTAGGGGAAGGGAAAGCCGCTTTGAGACTCCTCTGGGCAGTGAAGGGCGGAGTATAAATCCAATCTCTTCTTCTTCTTCCTGTGACTGGTTCTGTCTTCTGGGAGTCTTTTCCCCACCCTGGCTTGACTCCCTAGGAACCTGTCTGGCCTGAGGACGATTCTGGGAAGGGTGGACGAGCTGGCGCTTAGTATGCGTGTGGAGCGGGCAGGACTGTGCTTCCACAGTAACAGAGAGCTGGCATCACATTTCCACTTTGTACACTTTTCCCAGGCAGAAATTTTTACCCACCCTTCTTCCAGCGGGGCTCCAAAACAGGTGTCAGTAGAAAAATCAGCCTCTTGTTCAGGGTAAAAGAGGAGCGCAAAAGTGGGCTTGAAGCTCAACATCAAAAAAACTAAGATTATGGCATCTGGCCCCATCACTCCTTGGCAAATAGAAGTCGTGGAAGTAGTGACAGACTTCACGTCCCTGGGATCCCAGATCACCGCAGACGGTGACTGCAGCCATGAAATTAAAAGACGCCTGCTCCTTGGGAGGAAAGCGATGGCGAACCTAAACAGCACGATAAAAAGTAGAGATATCATCCTGCCAACAAAAATCCGCATGGTCAAAGCAATGGTATTCCCAGTAGCCATGAATCGTTGGGAGAGTTGGACTATAAGGAAGGCTGAGCGCTGAAGAATAGATTCTTTTGAACGATGATGCTGGAGAAGACTCTTGAGAGTCCCCTGGACTGCAAGAAGATCAAATCAGTCAATCCTAAAAGAAATCAACCCGGACTGTTCCCTGGAAGGCCAGATAATGAAACTGAAGCTCAAATACTTTGGCCACCAAATGAGAAGGGAGCACTCACTGGAGAAGACCCTGATGCTGGGAAAGATTGAAGGTCAAAGAAGACGGGGACGGCAAAGGATGAGATGGTTGGACAGTGTCATGGATGCAACGAACATGAAATTGAGCAGGCTTCGGAGGACGGCGGAAGACAGGAGGACCTGGTGTGATCTTGTCCATGGGGTCGTGAAGAGTCGGACTCGACTGTGCGACTGAACAACAACAAGAAAAATCAGCTGCACAGCAGATCAAAAATAAAAACATCCATCAGTAAACATCGTATCATAAAATCAGGCAAAGCAGTAATAAATAAGGAGCGTGAATCAGCCAGCTGACCTTCTGACTAGCCTGCAATGCCAAATTTAAATCATTTGTATATTTATTTGCATTATTTATTGTCCGCCTTTCTCACTTGGACTCGAGGTGGATTATGCAGATCGAGTCAATACAATTAGGAACACAAGAATGTAAGATGAGCCCTACTGGATCAGACTAGTCCAGCCCTGCTGGATCAGACTAGTCCATCTAGTCCAGCTTCCTGTCTCACACAGTGGCTAACCAGTTCCTCTGGACGGCCAACAACAGGGCAGAGAGGCCGAGGCTTTCTCCTGATGTTGCCTCCTGGCTCTGGGATTCAGAGGTTGATTGCCTTTGAATGTGGAGGCTCTCATCAGTCACCATGGCAAGTAGCCCTTGATGGACTTAACCTCTATGAATCTATCTAATCAAGTAATCTAATTGATGGAATGGGACATTCGAAGAACAATGCAGTAAGAATTAGAGTTTGTAGAAGCAACCAGAAGTCTCAAAAACGAACTGAAGCAAAGCGTAAGTATTAATTGTTGTTCAGTCGCACAGTCGAGTCCGACTCTTCACAACCCCATGGACCACATCACGCCAGGCACTCCAGTCTCCCGTCGTCCTCCAGAGTTTGCTCAATGTCATGTTCATTGCATCGATAACACTGTCTAACCATCTCATCCTTTGTTGTCCCCTTCTTCTTTTACCTTCAGTCTTTCCCAGCATCAGGGTCTTCTTCTCCAGTGAGGGCTCCCTTCTCATTTGGTGGCCAAAGTATTTGAGCTTCAGCTTCAGTCTCTGGCCTTCCAGGGAACAGTCAGGGTTGATTTCTTTTAGGATTGACTGATTTGATCTCCTTGCAGTCCAGGGGACTCTCAAGAGTCTTCTCCAGCATCATAATTCGAAAACATCTATTCTTCGGCGCTCAGCCTTCCTTATGGTCCAACTCTCACAGCCATGCATTGTTACTGGGAACACCATCTCTTTGACCATACGGACTTTTGTTGGCAGGATGATGTCTCTACTTTTTATTAAGTATTAATACAACATGTTAAAATGATGCAGAAATTAACATAGTAGCATCTTTGTTTCATCAAGGTATACTCAGTAGTACAATAGTCCTTAATAACTCTCCCAAATAACTTTGTGAATCATGGAGTACAGCAGGGGTCGTTTCGTAGAAAAAGAGCTAGGGAAACTCATTTGCATAACTCATTAGCATATGCCACACCCCCTGACATCACCGGAAGTGTGTCATAAGGCCACACCCCCTGACATCACCGGAAGTGTGTCATAAGGCCACACACCCCGCCCCCAACAGTCCCGGCCGCTGCCGGCCTTGCAGCTCCACTGCCGAGCCCCATGAGGGGCCCTGCGGTGGACCTGCAAGGCCGGCGGGAGTGCAAGGAAGCCCCGCGAAGGCCCTTCCTGGCCCCAGGCAGGCAGGGGTGGGGAGAGGCAGGGAGGAAGCAACTTACCCTCCCTCTTCTCCTGCCTCCTCCTGGCTGAATGAGGGCCGGAAGCGGGGCGGCCGGAAGCGGGGGGTGGGGCTTCGTCATGGGCCCCGCCCCCCCGGCCCTCACCCGGGGGAACTGCGATCCCCCGCGATTCCCCCCCGAAATGACCTCTGGAGTACAGTGCCCTCTCAAGTTCTCTTTAAAAGTTTTAAAGCTCTTTAAAAGTTCAGCTTTGCAGAGTTTTCTTACAAACAGGAAGGAGGAGTGTTTGTGGCACATGAAAATTACAGACTGTTTCATAAAACTTTCATAAATTTGGGGCAGCCTCCAGAAAAGCCCCAGGTGGAGCTGTGGCCCATTTCCCCATCTGATGGGGGTGGGAAGCAGGGGACTTGCACAGGACTCTATGGGGACAGATGGCCCTTCAGATCAGTGCCAGCACCTTGAATTGAACCCAGAAACAAACTGGAAGCCAATGCAGTGCCTTTAAATTACCGTACGGGCAGACTGATTTGTTCTAGTGAAAAGCCTGGATGCTACATTCTGTAGAGTTGAACTTTCTGGGATAGTCTTCAGGGTATGCCCCATGTTGAATGTAGTACAGTAGTCCTGTCTCAAGAGGACCATAGGGTGGATCAGCAATGTCAAGGTTGAGGGTGGGGCGCTGGACCCGTTCCTGTGCTGAATGCAACTGGGGCAGGGGGGGAACAGGTTCCTAAGCCGTTTTCTGTCATTTTCCAAGCAGGAGGGCTGGGTGCAGTGCAGCACCTGAGCTCTTCACTGAACCCATTAATGGAGGATTTACTCCATCCCAGGTAGCCAGCCAGCATCACCCTTTGACCACAGCCTCCAGGCACCGCCCCAGGACAGAACTGGCAGGCTCCAGAGGCTTGTCGCAGTGCTGGGAAATCAGCAGGAAGGAAGGGTTTTTTGGGGGGGCGATGTTGTCTGTGTGGGCGTGTCAGGTGTGCCTCTGCTCATCCCAGGGGCTGGAAAGCTGCAACCTTCCTTGAAGAAACAAAGGCTCTTGTGTCTGCACAGGCAGCTTAGTGCTCTCTGGAGCTGCTGGGATAGATGTATTGGTGTGTTACTTCTCCACCCTGTTCTCCCTGCCCCCTTGGCCGTTGCAGGTTGCAAATGGACGGGGCAAAGGTTTGAGCCAGAGGCAGTCAGTCACCTGATCACGTGGCAAGATGGCCGCTGCACCAGCAGCTTCCTGTCCTCGCTCCCGCCACCGCGATCGCACCTCAATGTGGCCACAGGGTTCGGTTGTGCCACGATCTACTGGTACTTGCGGAACAGGTAGGCACTGCCTTCGAAGGGCACCTTCTGTGTATTGTTGGGGGGGGGGGGGTTTGTCTCTGATTCTTTGATGCTTCTTTGCAACCAAAGGCCGGGAGTTTACTTCACCTTAAGAAGTTTAGGTAGGCTTAAGCCGTGACCTGGATTGGCCCAGTCTAGCCTGATCTCGGAAGCTAAGCAGGGTCGGCCCCGGTTAGTGTTTGGATGAGAGACCACCAGGGGTCATTTCATAGAAAAAGAGCTAGGGGAACTCATTAGCATAACTCATTAGCATATGCCACATCCCCTGACATCAGGGGCCCGGTGGTGGACCTGCAAGGCCAGTGGGAGTGCGAGGAAGCCCCGCAAAGGCCCTCCCTGGCCCCAGGCAGGCAGGGGTGGGGAGAGGCGGGGAGGAAGCAACTTACCCTCCCTCTTCTCCTGCCTCCTCCTGGCTGAATGAGGGCCGGAAGCAGGGCAGCCAGAAGCAGGGGGCGGGGCTTCATCATGTGCCCCTCCCCCTGCACCTCACCCGGGGGAACTGCGTTCCCCCGCGTTCCCCCCCGAAATGACCTCTGGAGACCACCATTTGGGTGGCGGAGGCAGGCAATGGCGAACCGCCCCTGAACGTCTCCTCCCTTGACAGCCCTACAGGGTGGCCGTAAGTGGGCTGTGAGCAGTGTTCCCTCTAAGCTGAGTTAGTGTGAGCCAGCTAACAGTTTTTTAGCCTCCGGCTCACAGTTTTTTGTCTTAGCTCAGGAAGGGATGGCTCCAGGGCAAACTAATTTATGCAGTAGCCAAATCGTTCGCTCACAACTTTAATGCCAGTAGCTCGCAAAGTAGAATTTTTGCTCACAAGACTCCACAGCTTAGAGGGAACATTGGCTGTGAGTGCACAGCACTTTCCAAACGAGAGCCGGGGCAGAGATCATAAAACACTCTTCAAAATCAGGCTGCACACTCAAGCAGAGTTAACTGTGGCTTCCTTGAAAGACGAGGAACAAAGTTTGACTCCGGTGGCCCCTTTAAGACCAACAAAGTTTTATTCAAGGTATAAGCTTTCGTGAAGTGTTTTGGTGTAGTGGCTACAGCGGCGGACTCTCATCTGGAGCACCGGGTCTGATCCCCCACTCCTTCACATGCAGCCAGCTGGATGACCTTGGGCCAGTCCCAGTTCTCTCAGAGCTCTCGCAGCCCCACCTACCTCACAGGGCGTCTGTTGCAGGGAGAGGCAGAGAAGGGGATTGTAAGCCGCTCTGAGACTCCTTCGGGTAGTGAAGGGCGGGGGATAAAAACCAGCTCTTCTGCTGCTTCAGAGCAGCATGGCTACCTATTTGAAAAATGAGGGTCATTCTTGTGAAAGGCCCACTGTGGAAGCCAAGAGAAGTGAACTTTATTGCAAGCCAGAGAAGGGAGGCCTTGTTTTGGCCAGGGTGGACTTAAACACGAGATTTCTGTAAGAGGTGGACTGGAGAAGGGTTTGAAGGCAGTGCCGAGCCATCGCCCTGTGTGAGACTGCAGACCATATGGAGCAGCAAGGAAGCTGCGAGGGAGTCTTTTCCCAGGGAAGCAGGGCATCTTCAGGTGGCAGAGGCTAGTCGAGAGATTTCCGTATACTCAGGGACAAGCTGGAGGATCTCAAGGAATTGTGGCACAAAGGCAACGGGACAGTTTGCGACTCTCCACCCCAAGTCTTCTTCTCCTGCATTCTATCAACCAGCACAAAGACTCAGTTTATGGCCTACGCCACCTTTAGAAACTTCCTCCGTACCTGGGAGGGAAGCTGTATACAAGATGCCTTTAATGGCCTTTAATCCACAGTATCTCAGAACACGATGGAGAAAATGTAGGAGAAATGGTTCTTATTTCCATCGTTGGTGGTGATGTGTAAAGCTGCTAGGACAGGATGGGTACAGAGCAACCTAAACCAGGTCTACTCAAAAGCAAATCCCATTTTAGCCAAGAACATTTTCCCGGTTATAAGCCCCGTTGGATAAAATGGGACTTATCTCTTAGGACTGGTCTCTTAGCTGCACTGCAAAAAATAACACAAAATACCTGATTCTCCCAAGTGCAATTATCTTGGGGTATATCGAAAGCCACTTTATCCCAAAGGTTCACAAGGAATTAATTTTTGCTTTTAGCTGGAGAAATGCAAATTGTCTATTTACTTCCCTGATCCCCCACCTTTCTTCCCAAAGGGGATCCAGAGCAGCTGGCATCATTCTCCTCTCTTCCATTTTATCTTTACAATAACTCCCGGGGTGGGTCGTGCTGAGAGAGTGTGTGACTGCCCCGAGGTCACCCAGCAAGCTCCTGTCGCAGAGTGGGGATTCGAACCTGGGTCTCTCCAAGAAAATTTCTGCCTGCCCTAATACTTGGTAACAAAGTATGGGAAGCAGCGAACAAAGTAATCACACAAATGACAGCCACACAAAATGTACAAGACAGTGTGTGACTGCAATAAAGAAGGCCAATGCTATGCTGGGGATTATTAGGAAGGGTATTGTAAACAGATCAGCCAATATCATAATGCCCCTATATAAATCAATGGTGCGACCTCATCTGGAATACTGTGTGCAATTCTGGTCACCACACCTTAAAAAGGATATTATAGCTTTGGAAAAAGTGCAGAAAAGAGCAACTCGAATGATAAAAGGGTTGGAACACTTTCCCTATGAGGAAAGGTTAAAGCGCTTAGGGCTCTTTAGCTTGGAGAAAAGACGACTGAGGGGTGACATGATCGAGGTTTATAAGATTATGCATGGGAAAGAGCAGGTAAAGAAAGAGGTACTTTTCTCCCTTTCTCACAATACAAGAACCCGTGGGCACTCCATGAAATTGCTGAGCGGTCGGGTTAGAACGGATAAAAGGAAGTACTTATTCACCCAAAGAGTGATTAACACATGGAATTCACTGCCACAGGAAGTGGTGGCGGCTACAAGCATGGACGGCTTCAAAAGGGAATTAGATAAGCATATGGAGCAGAGGTCCATCAGTGGCTATTAGCCACAAGGTATAGATAGGGGCTCTGGGGCAAGTGATGCTCTGTCTTCTTGGTGCTTGGGGGGGGGGCCAACAGTGGGAGGGTTTCTAATGTCCTGGCCCCACTGGTGGACCTCCTGATGGCACTGGTATTTCTGGCCACTGTGTGACACAGAGTGTTGGACTGGATGGGCCTTTGGCCTGATCCAACATTGGCATCTCTTATGGTCTTATGTTCTTATGTACATAGCTGTTTAGAAAAATTGATTTCATTTTTATCATTGGTGGAGTCAAAGGAGAGATTGGCCGTGTGCCCTGAAATATCTAGATCGGGGTGGCCAAACTGCAGCTCGGAAACCACATGTGGCTCTTTCACGCATATTGTGCGGCTCTCGGCAGGGCAGCTGGGGAAGCAGAGGGGAGGCATCCTTTTCCTCCCTCCCTCCCTCCCGTCTATTTGCTTTCTTTATTTCTCTTTCCACCTCTTTCATTCTTACTTTCCACCTCTCTCTCTCTTTCTCTCTCTCTCTTCGACAAATAAATATCATTAGCAAACAAATATAATTGGACAGATAAGTATCATTATCAATATCTGTTTTTACTCCTTTTATTTTTGGCAGTCTCATTCAATGTTAAGAAAAAGTAAATTTGCATATTTCCCAATAAAAACATGTGATATCTGTTCATGTCTTGTGGCTCTCAAACATCTGACGCGTATTCTGTGAGGCTCTGAAGCTGAGCAAGTTTGGCCACACCTGATCCAGATCCCCGTATGGGTAGAAGCAGGGTTGCCAGCTCAGGGTTGGGAAATACCTGGAGATTTTGGGGGGAGAGCCTGGGGAGGGCGGGGTTTGGAGAAGAAGGAGGGGCCTCAGCAGGATATAACAGCATAGAGTCCACCCTCCAAAGCAGCCATTTCCTCCAGGGGGGCTGGTCTTGGCCGTCTGGAGATCAATGATAATAGTGGGAGATCTCCAGGTGCCACCTGGAGGGTGGCAGCTGTAGTAATAAGTGGTCTTTTGGTCTTCGTGGACATTGTGTAAAGTGCCGTAACTCCGTGGTATTGCTAAGACATTGTACGTTAGCCAGTTATTACATGACTGAATTGCTGAAGATCTGCAATTCATGATATGTGTCAGGCTCAGTATGCATTTTATGGTTCGCCTGCCATAGAGGAAGGAGGAGGGGAAGAGTGGTGTGAAAACCAAATGCTTTTGTTTTTCCTAAATGCTTTGATGTGTCGGCAGAGACTTGTTGTTTTGCTTTATTTCTGTAGAGGGGTATGTGCTTAGTGGGGGAGGTAGTTGACCCGTTAAATGCCGTGGGGTGATTGGGTCCTGATCTTTAGTCCCTTTGCTTGAGCACAAATATATTTGCAATCTCTGTGCTTTCACCTTCAGTCCAGTATGGTATTCTTCAGCATCTCAATAAACAAAACTTCCTTCTAACGGAGTGGTGTTGAGAACTGATTTAACCAGGGTTCTGACAAAGTGTTGTAATATCCAGTTACAGTGTCGCTACTGTTTGTCAACCTATACTGAAAACCATTACAAAACACTTTAAAAGTTTAGAAAACCTGTTTGTCTCCCCCACCCCCCACCCCCGGGACATGGTCAGCTACTTTGGTGGAGTGAGACTGTGTTCCTTTTTGTTAATTTCCAAAGTTATATTTTTCTGCCTACCTGGAGAGTCCTGCCCTCCCCCATATGCTGAGATGCCCAGTGTGTCTGCCAGACGCCTAATTTTGCCTTTTTCAGCCACTCCCTCTTAGGGGAGAGCTGTAAATTATGATATCAGTGATGAATGGTTGCATGCCTGTTAGGAAAAGAAAACATTTACAACCAAGCAGGCTGCTTCCCGGTGGTTTCTCCCTGTGGGAAAAGAGCTGCCCCAAAGAACCTCCGTGTCGCTCTCCTTGTCCTAACCCATCTCCTCTGTTGTTCTTCGGCTAGCCCAGATTTCTTGAAACGTTACGATGCTGCCGGAACCATCCAGGACTATGTGGTCACCATGCTGTGTGGCCTGGCGCAGCCCCAGATGTCTGTCCAGAACGCTGCCAGCTGGGGGTATTTCAGCACCACCTCAAAAACCTGGAATACAGACATGTAAGTAAACCCGTCACTAGATGGGAGGCAGGATGTCAGGCTGGTCCCTGGACAGGGTCAGAGAGCACCTCAGCGCTTTGAGCTTAAAAAAAAAAAGATTGTAGGAGATCCTGCTCACAAGAGATTCTCCACGACATCCACTTAAGCCCTTGGATGGTGAATCAGAATGAAACCGGGAAACTCGTGCTCCATTTCATTTTGGGACTTGCCAAATAAAAAACCACTGCAGGGTTTGCGTGGGGCGGGTGGTTTAGTGTTAGGTTATGGAAGCCCAGCCATAGTTCCAGACATTACACGGGTGGTGCAGAGAGAGGAGTGGCAGAAGGGCGACTGCATGAGCCGTTCTGGAGCAGAGGAAAACGTCCCTCGTGTCCCAAGTAGAGATGGTTGGGTAGAGTAGCCTTGTCCAGGGTGGCTTCCCCTAGCATAATGCAGAGGATTCTGGGACAGCTGCCAGTGTTTGTCGGTTTCAACACGCCGGCAAAGCAAAGGATCCTCCCTGCGAAAGCACAGCAAGAACCAAGAAGCATCTTCTGTCTCCTGATGTGTGTGCCGAGATGTCATCTTCGGGAACAGCAAAACAAAACAACTGTGAGCTGAAATACCCGCAAGTATAAATGTACAAAAAGAGACTTCAATAAAGTGAAAAGAAGCATATAATTAGCAATATCAGTAACAAATATTACATATGGGAATGAAAAATCCACACAATCCATGAAGGGAAACAGTCAAGTCCAGAGAAGATATCCAACACTTCTCCTAGGTAGTTTATAGTGTTTCAGACTCCTGGTCCTTCCTCAGGAACAAAGAACTATAGAACTACAAAATTGTAAAAGTATAAAATACAGCAATGCTTTATAACAATATAGCTTCTAAACAATGATGCTTAATAACAATGTATAATCACTGTTACACAGAGTCTCATGTATCTGAAAGGAGTCTGAAACACTATATATATAAATTATATGCTTCTTTTCACTTTATTGAAGTCTCTTTTTGTACATTGTATTGTTTGTTGCTCGATATGTCATCTTCAGCATCAGGGTCGCTCATTCCCACATTGACATTTACTGGAATGAAATCAAGATAGGGAGGAGAGGGCGTATAGTGGACTTTCCTCCTTAGCCTCTTTTGTAACAGTCCTTCGCTGGGATCAGAGTCAATGTCCCCTCTAACTCCACCCCCCTCCTGAGCGAAGCAGTTCACGTCCGGAGCAGAACAGAACTGCCGTCGTCTCAAAATGGGCAATGGGCAGTGCAAGACCCTGCGTGGCCCCAGGTCACTGCTGACCGGGGCTTCCCGAGTTAATGAGCTCACGTGCACAGCTTAGAGGGAACGCTGGTAATGTCTTCTGAACTGAGAACTGTCAGAGCTGTTCTGTTTTTTTGCGACGCAGCAGAAGCTGAAGAGGGGGCCCTGCCCCGGGGAGCTTACAGTACGAGTCCTTTTGCAGTGTTTCTGGCTGGGGCTGTCACCGGACTAAAAGCATCACATTCTGCAGAGGAGGAGGACTGGGATGGGAAAACGGCTCCCCTTCCTGGCCCCCTACTCCCTCGAGACTGAGAGAGGCAGCCTGCCTGCACCGTCCCCTCCCTGAGGACCCTGTCCGCCGAGCCAGCTGCCTCTCCCAACCCCTGCATGGGGCTCAGCGGTGCCACACAGCCTTCAGGAAGGCCAGGCGCTGCCTCCCCACACAGGCCCTTCTCACCACTGGGCTGGCCCTGTACAGGTTAGGGGGAGGCCATGAGCCCACCTGGAGAAGTCCCAGTGGCCAGAGCGGCCAATCCACCCCCGGGAATCCTGTTGTAGGAGTTTTCCTCTAGCAAATCTGCATCCGTTTGCATATGAGTCAAATAACGGTTTTAAAGACGAAAGTGTGTAGGAGAGAGAGTGGGGATGACTCTTGCAAGTTGGCACTTGCCTTCTGGAGGTTTTATCTATCAAAATAATTCCAGATTTCTTTTTCCTTAAAAGCGGGTTTCCCAGTTAATTGGGAGCAACTGTTTTAGTCAATCAAATGGTACTGTAAATGGAATATATCTAAGCAATAATCAAGTAGGCCCTGCAGCATTACTCATGACAAATACCGTTCTGAAACCGCCCCGGCTTCCTCCTTAGAGCATCAAGAGTCTGAGGCCTCCCCTGGGCCAGGACTTCACAAGGAGAGGACTCCCTTCCCAGTTTGGTGTAGTGGTTAAGAGTGTGGACTATTATCTGGGAGAACTGAGTTTGATTCCCCACTCCTCCCCATGCAGCCAGCTGGGCGACCTTGGGTCAGTCACAAGTTCTCTCAGAGCTGTTCTCTCAAGAGCAGTTTTCGAAAGAACTCTCTCAGCCCCACCTACCTCACAAGGTGTCTGTTCTGGGAAGGAGAAGGGAAAGGAGATTGTAAGCTGTTCTGAGACTCCGAGTGAATGGCGGGGTATAAATCCAATCTCTTATTCTTCTTCTAATCCTGCAGGGAAGAGACTGTTGCTTTCTAGCCCATCTCAAGGTTTGCGCAAAACTTGTGCTTGATTCTTGGTGTTCTCATCACTAACCCAGTGTGGCAAAGCAAACTGTTGTCACAGTGTGTGTGTTTGGGGGGGGGGGGGTCCTAACTGTTTGTGGTTTGCATCTGGAGCAACTAACCCCTGGAACCCAGAAGGGATAACACACCGTGTCCACACAGCAACTGCCTGTGCTGCTTGATCTGGTGTGTTCTGAACAGTGCAAAGGTGCCTGAAAGAATGGCTTTTCCCTCTGTTGTTATGCAAAAACCAGGTTGGAGCAGAAATTTCCCTCTGCATGCTGCTTTCACTTCCTTTGATCATCGGGTTTTATGGTACCCTCTACACTGCATGATGCTTTCGCTTCCTTTGATCATTGGGTTTTATGGTAACTTCTGCATAGATTTATGGCCGTTCAGGGGTGACTTTGCAGTCAGTACAGCATGGCCTCGGGAGTATTTGAATGTGGTTTTGAGCGGCACCTTTTCCTCCCAGTTGAGAAAATGTGGAGCGAATGCGAGATGCAGAATTGGCCGGAATTTCCTTCTCCTGAGTCAGCCCTTTAGTCTGTTCATGGCAGAGCTATCCTCTTGGACTGGCAGTGGCTCTTTGGGTGGCAAAGGGGGCTTTCACATCTCCTACTGCCCGGGATCCTTTGAACCAGCAAGGCCTGGGGACTCTCTGCATGCCAAACAAGTACTCAGGCATTAAGCTACAGCCTCTCCCTAACAGAACACATTGGGGGAAAGGGGGATATTTGAAGCTTTCTGACCCAGCCAGGGCACTGGTCCAGCTAGCTCACTACAGCCTGTCACAGTAGACAGCGGCTCACCAAGATGGCAGGGCAAAGACCCGTTCTCTAAAATGATCTAGCTGGAGATGTTGGGGATTGAAGCCAGGGCTATCTACATGGCCTCACGAATTTCTGCCAAATTTTCTGTGGCGAACTGTCGTCTGAATGGAGGCCGGTTGGTCTTGGGACCCCCAACTTCGGCCTTGGGGTTCGTCTCCGTTGCCACTGGCCCTCATCCCCAGCTTTCAAGTGCTCTGGGCTGAGGGGTGAGGGGAGGGAGATGTGTGTCTTTTGTGAGGACATTTCCCCCATCTGAGTGCGCTATGAATGGTGACTAGCTTGATGTAGCCACATCAGCAGAAACGGCAAACTCAGGCTCAGACGTGTCCTGTGGCCCCACACGGCTCTCGCTGATTCAGGATGGCCAAGGCCCGCAAGGGAAAGGAGGAAACCATGGCAGCCGTGAGTGTGGGAGTGGAGCCTCTTGCTCACAGGGTCCAGGAAGCGAGCCTTACCCAGAATCCTTTGCAAGAGCCAGAGAGCGTTCTTTGACCCGCTCTGGCCTAGCCATATCAAGAGGCTGACGGGGATGATTTCCCAGCAATTACCTTGTGTGGCCAGACCAGGGTGGGGAGTTGTACAGCAGGGTATGCCACGAGCCAAATCCTCACCCGATGCTAGATTGTGAGTTCAAGACTCACTACAGCAGGAGTGTCAAACATAAGGGCCAGGGGCTGGAACCGGCCCGTCCAGGGCTCTTAATGCGGCCCGCGAGCAACTAGTGCAAGGGGAGGGGGAACAGGAGACTGCTCGGGGGAGTGTGCAAAGCCCCTCCGATTGTGGCTTCGGCATGGCGGAACAACCTCGTCTGCAGCAGTCCAGCATCACGGGAGCATCTGCTCTGCGCCACACCCCTGCTTCTGCAGTCTGCCCATGTGGGTTTTACTCTGCACCTCCCGCTCTCAGCCCATGGGGCCTTTGCCGTGAAAATACACCAACTCGGAGCTTACCAGCTGCTCTCCTTTATACCGTTTATATCTCCGGTAGCTGGCATTACGTTTTATGGCACACGTGGCCCAGCCCGACAAAGTGACCTTTATGTCAAGTCCGGCCCTCGTAACAAATGATTTCAATAACTCTGCACTACAGGTTTGAGCCCTGATGGGCAGGGGTCATTTCGTAGAAAAAGAGGTGCAGGAGCTCATTAGCATAACTCATTAGCATAACTTATTTGCATATGCCACGCCCCCTGACATCACTGGAAGTGTGTCAGAAGGCAACACCCACCGCTCAGGCTCCACTGGACTGTTTTGGATTGCTAGCTATTGGGGGGGGGGACGTGCAGATCTGTCCTTGCAGAGGAGGGAGAGCTTGTACCTGAATAAAACTTGGTCTTAAAGGTGCCACTGGACTGTTTTGGACCGGGGGGGGGGCTCTGTAACTTACCTGGCTGCTTCTTGCTCTGCCTGAGGGCTGCTGGGAGCAGGGGGCGGGGCTTGTTGCATGTGCCCGCCCCCTGGGCTCTTTACTGCCGGAGCTCCGCTCCTGTGCGCCCCTGCAGGAAATGACCCCTGCTGATGGATATGCATTGTTGGAACGAGTGCCCCGTCATGAAATGCTTTGCAGTATCACGTTGCTGTTAACAGTAGAGTGGGCAGCTTGGGCCAACCCCCAAAGGAGCAGAATTGGGCCAACCACATTTAAATTAACCCAAAGACGAAGTTTTTAAAAAGCCAGGAAAGAAGCCTGATGCGGACTGAGTGTGCTCCAGGAGGCACCGAATACTGAGCAGTTTGATGCAGTGTCATCCACACGGCTTTGATAACCCAAGATTCCCCTGGAGGCAGTGCGCATTGCTGATGGCTTTCGCTCCACCCCAAACTCCTCTGCTGTGCTTTCTTCCTCTGGTTTCAGCCTTGGAGAATCCCACTTCCCCGTCCATCTGCTTCCCAAGGTGGTTGACCCCGGAGACCTTGCAGGGGAGACTTCCGATGCGTGGCATGCAATTCCAAAGGGCACCAAAGTCGGGGCTGCTCTGGGGGACTGCCAGTGTTCGGTGTACTCCTGTATGCCCGAAAGCACCGATGCAGGTACGGGTAACGCCTTCTTTCTGGTGACACCGAGAACCGAAAATGGTCCCATCCATGGGAGAACGGTAACATTAATTTGGGAGTTGGTTGCATATTCCTTTTGCCTGCTTCAGCCTGTGAAACTGATTATGCGTGAGCCAGACTTTTGTATTTGCTGTGTTTTATGCACGCTTGCACAGTCTTAATTACCATAATTTATTGTGGTCCTGCTAGTTATTGGGGGGGGGGGGCAGGTGGCATTTGGAACACTGAAACTTCACCCCTGAAACACTTTTGTCAAGTATTACTCCACATACTGTCAAGCCTAGATTCATAAGGACTAGCACCAGTTTTCTTAAAAAACAGAAGATTCGCAGGATACTGAATCACAGTTGAGGAGACACAGCGAAATGCTCTCATTCTCCTGCATGTGTTAACTGAGCTACAACTGTGCCTTCCTAGTTCTGACATTGTGAAATGGAGTTCCATCCACTGCGTGAACTGGAGAACCAGGAGCCAGTTTGGTGTAGTGGTTAAGAGCGGTGGAATCTGGAGATCCTGGTTCGATTCCCCACTCCTGGGTGGATCCAGCTGGGTGAGATCCTGGTTCGATTCCCCACTCCTGGGTGGGTCCAGCTGGGTGACCTAGGGTCAGTCGCGGCTCCCTCAGCCCAAAAAATGAACCCGGCTCGCCACAAAAAGAGCTAGAGTTTCAGGCTGCCTGACAATCTTCGGATCTCCTGGCTATACTACAACCACTGCCATACAATAATCAAATCAATTGACCCAAAGACCCATCTCTCACCCCAGTCTGTAATCTTACATTCTTTTTCTCATTCGTGTTCATCCCTCTCTCACTCTTCTAGCCATTTTCCCCTCCTGAGAATGCTGATAAAACAAAAGAGAGATGAAGACGACAGTGCAGCCCATCTTGGATCTCCTTGTGGCCTCAGCTCCCCCTGTTGGATCCTAATGTTGACAGTTCACTTGTGGAACTCCATGCCACAGGATGCCATGACGGCCACCAACCTAGATGGTCTTAAAAGGGGGCTGGACAAATTCAAGGAGGAGTGGCCCATCAGTTGCTGTCAGCTACTGTATTCAGAGATAGTATGCCTACAAATACTGGATACCCCTGATTTTCTGGGAAGGAACAGCAGGGGGAGCCTTTCCCTGCATTTAGTTGGCCATTGTGCAGGATAGGTTTGTGGATTTGATGGACCCCCTGATCTAATCCGATCCAACAGGGCCCTTCTGATACTCCTTTGAATCAAATCTGTGGATCCAGTTGTCAAAGAAGTTCATTTGTTCTACAGTGGGGGTCCAAAATGTGCTTCCTCCGACTCAGAGGATTCTGTTTGGCAGAAAGAGTTTGCAGACTATTCAGGGTGCTAGGCAGACGCCGCTTAGGGACTAATCTCTGATCCTTTGGGTCCAGTCCAGCAAGGCTCTTTTTAAAAAATATTTTATTTGAAACAAAGACAACAATAATTATATTCAATCTTATACAGAAAATGAACAAATAGGTAGTAGATATAACTAGGCAGTAAATATAACTAGGTAGTAGATATAACTAGCCAGTTTGGTGTGGTGGATAGGAGCATGGACTCTAATCTGGGAGAACCGGGTTTGATTCGCCACTCCTTCACAGGCAGCTGCTGGGTGACCTCGGGTCAGTCACAAGCCAGTCACCCTCAGAGCAGTTTTTTCAAGAGCAGTTTCTGCCAGAGCTCTCTCAGCTCCACCTACCTCACAGGGTGTCTGTTGTGGGGAGGGGAAGAAGAAGAGATTGGATTTATACCCCGCCCTTCACTACCCAAAGGCATCTCAGAGCGGCTTACAAACTCTTTTCCCTTCCCCTCCCCACAACAGACACCCTGTGAGGCAGGTGGGGCTGAGAGAGCTCTGACAGAAACTACTCTTTTTCAAGAACAGCTCTTATCAGAGCGATGGCTTGCCCAAGGTCATCCAGCCAGGTGCAAGTGGAAACTGCTCTTTTTCAAGAACAACTGTGCCAGAACTATGGCTTGCCCAAGGTTATCCAGCAGGTGCAAGTGGAGGAGTGGGGAATCAAACCTGGTTCTCCCAGATTAGAGTCCGCGCACTTAACCACTACACCAAACTGGCTATCCACTGAAGAAGAAGAAGAAGAGATTGGATTTATACCCCGCCCTTCACTACCTAAAGGTGTCTCAGAGCGGCTTACAAACTTCTTTCCCTTTCCCTCCCCACAGCAGACACCCTGTGAGGTAGGTGGGGCTGAGAGAGCTCTGACAGAAACTACTCTTTTTCAAGAACAGCTCTTATCAGAGCGATGGCTTGCCCAAGGTCATCCAGCCAGGTTTAAGTGGAGGAGTGGGGAATCAAACCCAGTTCTCCCAGATTAGAGTCCGCGCACTTAACCACTGCACCAAAGAAGATTGAAAAGCCGCTCTGAGACTCTGAGTGAAGGGCGGGGTTTAAATCTAATCTCCTTCTCCTCCTCTTCTTCTGCCTCTTCTTCCTCTTTCTCCTCCTTTTCCTCCTCCTACTACTACAAAGGAACATTTAGAACCATAAAGATGAGTCAAAAACACAGCAACCAAATCACAATTGTAACAAATCAATAGGATAAATATGACTTGGAACTTTATCGACACCGTATAATTTAACATTGGGAGCCGAACGGCAGGGAAACCTGAGTGAGGAGCCATATTGTCCTTCTGATGATTCTGATAAGAGATCTTTTCCATAACACGGAATCTCCATATTTTATCAAACCACAGTGGGATCAACGGGGGCAATCTGTCCCTCCATCGTATAGCTACTGAAGCTCTAACAGCTGCTAGTAAAAACTCAATTAAAGTTTAGGTGGACCGAGGTAGTCAACAATTAAACCATAGTGATGACAGTAAAAGTTCTGGTTGCATCGATAAAGAAACCCCAGCAATAGTGAAAAGGTGGTCTAACAGCAAGGCTTTGTTGGTGTTCTTATGTCATCTCTCTCCTGCCCCCCCTTTCCTTCCTCCTAGTCCTCAACATTGGCACCTCTGCTCAGCTGACCGTCCTGGCCCCCTTCGGCTTCCATCCGGGAGAGTCCCCAGACCCTCGTTCGCCCGTGACCTACTTTCCGTATTTTGACAGCCGCTACCTGGCCGTGGCAGCCTCACTGAACGGCGGGAACGTCCTGGCGACATTTGTGGACATGCTGGTCGAATGGATAGCCGAGCTGGGTAAAGTATTTGGAGGAGGGACCCCAAAGGCTGATAACGGGAGCGGGCGGGAGACGGTGGGTGTTTGCGCAAGCAGTGCCACGAGCAACTTTTGACCAGTCCCAAAAGAATTCCCTGGCCGGATCAGACCAGGGTCCAGCACTCTTGTCTTCACCAGTAGCCAGTCACCAAGCAAGGCTGAGGGGCTGTGGCTCTGTGGAAGAGTATTTTATTTATTTATTTATTTCAGCTTATATTCCGCCCTCCCCCAAGTGGGCTCAAGTGGGGGGTATCTGCTCAAACCCCAGGACTGGGCAGTAGATATGAAAGACTTCTTGAGACCTTGGAGAGCAGCTGCCGGTAGGAGCAGACAGCACTGGCCTCGATGGACCAGGGGTCTCAGATTCAGCAGAAGGCAGCTTTGGGTGTGCTCACTCACGGCAGGAGGGTGCGGGTCAGGCCCCTTCTGTCTGGGCTCAGCGCCTGCTTATTGGGGACAGCCTCCCTCGTCAGCCGTGTGCCCTCCCCGTTCCCATGTGCCTCCTTTCATTTCTCTGCCTTGAATCGACCGCCAGCCTATTTCCTTTGTTCGCCTGGGATTCTGACGTGTGGAGATTGGAGACCCTGTCTTGTGCAGCTGGGGGATTTGCAAAAGCACGGCGGGGGGGGGGGGGGGTGGGTCAGCAGCCGAGGGGCAGATGGCTGTGACCTTCAGCTCCATATGAGGAAGACCTGAGAGCCCCTTCTGTGTTGCAAAGCACTCTGGGTAGGAGGGGCTACTCACCAGAGAATCCGGGCAAGGCAGACTTTAACCCTTCCGTCCATTTCCCCCTGAACCACTCCCCACTAGAACCGATGCATTTGCCGGGATCTGGACTGGCGGACGCGGAACTGGAAAGGGTCCATACATTTCGCGAGCTCTGCACCGATCCCTTTCTCCTCTCCGAAGCATCTCCTCCCCAGAGTGCTTTGCAGGAGAGAAGGGGTCGTCAGGGCTAATTGGTTGGGGTTCTTCCCCCCCCTTCCTTTTCTTTTTGTGGTCTGAATCCCAACAAAAAGGCTTTTCTGAAGGTAAACATCTAAATCTCCCGTAAACCGCAGAACAGCCCCTCTCCCTCGGCTTTTAGCCGACCCTTGGAACACAGCGTTAATGAGGATTTTCAATTACTTTTCCAGCTTTATTACCATTTCAAGCACTTAATGGGTTGGATGCTATTAAATCGTCTATTTAGTTCCTTGCCCCCTCCCTCCTCCGCCCACAATTACTGTATCTGCGCTGCCTCCTGGATGGAGGGAAAGAAGAGGCCTGACCTCCACCCATTCCTGGCCCCCAGTCTCTTTCTCTTCACCCACCCAAAGTACCTTGGTAGCCAGCAGGTTGTACTACGAGGAGTGCTGGACTGGAACCTGAAAGGCCTGGGTTCAAATCCCAGTTTGGCTACGAAGCCTGCTTGGTGGCTCTAGTGAGAAGAGAGTTGGGCCAGCTGCCTTGTACGCCTCCTTGGAGGGAGGGGAGGATGCAGGTGAGGCGAACAAGATCGGCACAACGCTGGGCCATGCCTTGTGAGGGACTGGTTAGCCATTTTGGATTTCAAACCCAAACGTGATTGGACAAAGGCTCCAGTCTTCCGGCCAACCAGCTCTCCGGCCTCTTTCAGGCCCCATTTCCTAAGTGTGATCTTCCTCCTCTCAAAGACGGGGGCCTACTTTCTAACTCCTGTGTCTCTACGGGATGTTATTATGGACAAATTGGTCCTTTTAACTGAGCCTTCCTTCCTGTCCTAGGCCTGGTCCCTGTAGGGCGGGGGCGTCCAACCTTTTTTAGCCTGCGGGCACCTCTGGAATTCTGACACAGTGCGGTGGGCACAGCCACAAAATGGCTGCTGCAGGGAATGGAGCCAGCCACAAAACGGATCTTGCGGCTTAACTTCAGCCACACAGTGAAGATCCTTGGGCTGTTGTGGTAGCTGCTGCCAAAGCAGCGCTTTTAAAAACCTGTTCCGCCAATCAGATCTCCAGTGGCCAATCAGAAGGGTTGCTAGGGAAGAGCTCCACCCTTTTTCTAAAGACTCTTAGCGGGCACGAGGAAAGGTATTGGTGGGCATCATGGCACCCACTGTAGGTCATTGTGTTCCCCTCTGGAGGAAGTGGTGGTGCTCAGCCCCGCGAAGGATTTGCCAGCCCCATTTGTTCATTTGACGCAGTGTCTCTCCAGCCACAAGATCCTTCCCTGCCCTTTATCGATTTCTTTTCTCGATGTGTTTCTTGGCAGGACTCGAAGTCCCCCGTTCCCTCCTCTACCCGCGGATGATCCAGGCCGCCCTGGCCCGAGCCGACACGGCCCTCTCCGTGTGCCCGACCGTCTTTGGCGAGAGGCACAGGCCCGAGCAGCGGGGCTCCGTGACGCACATCGCGGCCTCCGACCTCTCTCTGGGTCACGTGACCCGAGCCCTGTGCCACGGCGTAGTCCAGAACCTGCACTCCATGATGTCTTCCCAGCGCCTGGGGGAGGCAGGGGCGAAGCGGATCCTGGCCAGTGGCAGCGCCCTCTCCAGGAACGAAGTGTTGAGGCAGGAAGTGGAGAGGACGTACCCCTTCCCAGTGGTTTACGGGAAAGACATGGACGCGGCAGTAGGGGCCGCCTTGGTGATGCTGCGCCGGAAGTGAGGTCGGAACCCGGGGTGGCAGAAGCCCCGCCCTCTGGCTGGGACGTGGGTGTGCCACACGCAGATGCCCAGGGAGCCCAAGGGGGAAGAACAAGGGGGACCCTCACTGTTTGCAAGAAGGCGTGGCCAGGGTTCAGAGCCCCCCTCCCATGCAGTTAATGAGGGCTGTGTGCAGATGGGCTGCCAGGTAGTGCCACAGACAACCCCTGGCGGCGGAGGACAGTGCGCAAGCACCAGCTGTCCACGGTTGGCATTTGGGCCTTCAGCCTGTGGCCTGAATGGAACCAATGGGCCTGGTAGGTGCTGGACCCCTGAACTCTGTCCTTCCCCCAAAGTAATAGGGGGGAACCCCCCCTTGGACAGGTCAAGGAGCAAATTGGCCGTGGTGGCCAGGGGAAGCGTTCCACTCCCACGAATCATTTGCCAGTCCTCGTTTTCGTGCTCGTAATAAAAAAGGCACCAAAGATTTCTCCCTGCTGTCCATCCCTGACAGTCGCCAGCCGTCCACCGCTGCTTCCTTTTGAGTCCCTTCAAGCCAGTTTGGTGTTGTGGTTAGGAGCCTGGGTTGTACCTGGGAGAACCGGGTTTGAGTCCCCACTCCTCCTCCACATGCAGCTGCTGGAGTGACCTTGGATCAATTCCAAGTTCTGGCACAGCTGTTCTTGAAAAAAGAGCCGTTTCTGTCAGAGCTCTCTCAGCCCCACCGACCTCACGGGGTGTCTGTTGTGGGGAGGGGAAGGGGAAGGAGATTGTAAGCCGCTCTGAATGACTCCTTCGGGTAGTGAAGGGCGGGGTATAAATCCAATATCTTATTATTATTATTCTCCCTGCCTTGGCAGTGCTCGGATGCTGTCGCTGGCTTTGCTGTCCTTGCACTTGCCCTGAACATCACTTTCAGTCCCTCCGGTGCAATGTTTCAGTGTTTGTGTGTGTAAAGTGCCGTCAAGTCGCAACCGACTCGTGGCAGCCCCTTATGTGGCTCTCAGGGCAAGAGATGTTCAGAGGTGGCCTGCCTCTTTGTCGTGACCCTGGACTTCTTCGGTGGTCTCCCATCCAAGTACTCATCAAGGCTGGTCCTGCTTAGCTGTCGAAGTCTGACAAGATTGGGCTAGCCTCCACCATCTAGGTCAGGCATTGTAATAAGCCAGGTCAGAGTTTCAGTCGGGTAATAAAGGAGGGAGAGAGTGACATCCGGGCCCTGCGATGAGTGCGTTGAGTGGAAGAAGAGTGGGGCATCGTGTAATAGCAAGCTACTCAGTGAAAGTGAGAGTTGGGTTTGATCTGGAGGACTCGGGTTCAAGGGTCGCTTGCCTCTTTGGCAGATGCAAGGAATAAGAACGAAAGAGAAGCCATGCTGGATCAGGCCAGTGGCCCACCCAGTCCAACCCTCTGTGTCACGCAGTGGCCCAAACCCAGCTGCCCTCAGGAGGTCCACCAGTGGGGACGGAACTCCAGAAGCCCTTCCACTGTTGCCCACCAAGCACTAAGATTTTAGAGCCTCACTGCCCCAGACATAGTGTTCCATATACGTTATGGCTAATAGCCACGGATGGACCTCTGCCCCGTATGTTTTTGTACCTTCATGCCCCATGGCCTCCCATACCAGCCCTTGATTTCTCTGTTTTGGGGGGCATGTGCATAGCTCAGGAAGGGGTGTGGGTGGCTGCGCTCGGCAGGGGCTGCTCATCTCCTGGTGCAACAGTAGAAGCTGAGCAAATACTCACTTGTCACTCCTATGCTGTGTCCAGCTTCGTTCCATGGCCTCTCCCGGCTGTGTATTGCCTGCCCTGTCTTGTATGTCTCTTCTTGAGACGGAGAGAGGGAAGACTAAGGCCAGGGCCTGAACTGAGGGGGAATGGAAAGATGGAAACAGCGACACAGAGGAGTCCAGGGCAGCTCAGAAAGGCCCTCAGAGGACCTTTCTCTTTTTGGATGTGAGAACCTGAAGGAGTTTATTACATAGTGACCCTGAACACGTCTCCTGGTGCCAAAACTTTTTTATTATCTGTTTTATTTAAAATATCTCTGTGCTGTCTTGGCATCCAAAGAAGCTCCCCAAGGTGGCGGACATTAAAACACTACGACATTAAAAACATTTGGAGTAAATTATACAGAAATATACCATCTATACCAACGTATCACCAAAAAGTTGGGAAGAGGCCAATAACAGTTATTGGGGGGGTGCCAGACAGAACAAGAGTCTTTTACTAAAGCCATGTCTCGAGCTTTTTAAAATGACTCGACTAAGCTCATGCATTTTGCATCAATCACGTTGTTGCATGAGGTAAACCCACTTGCTCAAAGGAAAACCGTGTGCCGCCTTTCTAAGCATGTGGCTTGCTATAGGTACCATCTTCCGCCTGGGGGTTGCAATACACTTTTGTAACAGTGTGAGCACTTCTCAAGCAGTGTGTCCGTCTGTGTACATCTTCGCAACGGGACTGTTGCTGCCACAGGTTTTATCAAACTTCATAGGTCTTAGCAACCCTTGTTTCCCCGCTGGCCTGTGTGCCTGGTGTTTTGTTTGCTGGCCACTATGTATGAAGCAGTGTGTTCCTCACATCAGCTGCCGCCGCCTGCCGTCTCTCCTCCTTGCAGTTCTTAGCACTGATGCTGCCAGAAACCGTGCCTTCTCAATTGTAGCCAATGCTCACTCTAAGCTGTGGAGTCTTGTGAGCAAAAATCCTACTTTGTGAGCTACTGGCATTAAACTGTGAGCGAGCGGTTTGGCTACTGCATAAATGAGTTTGCTCTGGAGCCATCCTTCCTGTAAAGGTAAAGGTTTCCCTTGCTCGAAAGCCAGTCGAATCCGACTCTCAGGTTGCGGTGCTCATCTCCGTTTCAAAGCCGAAGAGCTAGCGCTGTTTGAAGACGTTTCCGTGGTCATGTGGCCGGCATGACTAAGCACCAAGGTGCACGGAACACTGTTACCTTCCTACTGAAGTGGTACCTATTTATCTACTTGCTTTCGAAGTGCTTGGTTGGCAGGAGCTGGAACTAGAGACGGGAGCTCACTCCGTCATGCAGCACCCGGGTCTCGAACTGCTGAACTTCCGACCTTCCACATCCTGCAGTTCAGCGTCTTAACCACTTGAGCAACCGCAGCTCCCAAACATCCTTCCTGAGCTAAGACCAAAATGTGTGAGCCGGAAGCTAAAAAACTGTGAGCTAGCTCCCACTAACTCAGCTTAGAGGGAACACTGGTTGTAGCACCAACTTTACAGTCTGGTTTGTCAGAGGAGGTAAGGATTGGAGGGCCTCTTCGCAATCGGTTTTCTGCAGGAAGCACAAAGCTGCTTTATAATCTGAGACCTTTTCGGTGTTTTGAAATGGAAAACCAGAGAGCTTTCTCTGCTCTGAGTCTGGTCACTTGCCTTGTATGTGATGACGTAGCTTGGATTTGTATAACTGGTTTTAGGGGGGCATTTCAGTGGTCTTGCTGTGAGCCACCTTGACCCTGCTTGGGGAAAGGCAGGGCATAAATATTTTTGAGAGTAAACGGAATTAAATATGCCAGCATGATCAGATATGCACCCAGGGCAATTAGTCCTCCCAGCAATCAGGTTCACATTGTGTGGCTGCATCACCCTGTCATTCGGTGGCTTTTTATTGGCTTTCGACAGGCCCACTGTTTTTTTAGGCGCTGCTCTGCTGGATCGGGTCCTGCTTGCTTCAGTCCACTCCCACATTCTGGAAATGACCGGCAAAGGAAAAGTGGGAGGAGCACCCTGACCCACACCAAAGGACCTGAGACTCTGAGAGTGAAGGGCGGGGTACAAATCCAATCTCTGCTCTTCTGTCTTCTCAATGAGGACCCATGCTTCTTTCCTCCATTTTACCCTCACAATAACAACCCTCATGAGGTCGGTTAGGCCAAGTGGGTGCCGCCCAGTGAGCTTCCATGACAAGTGGGGATCAGAACCCGGGTCTGCCAGATCCTGCTCTCCCACGGACCACGGCACCATGTGATCTTGAATGCAGCAGGGGAAAAGTGGCATTTGAGGTCACCCCCTACTTTACTAAAAAAGTACCAAACTCCTTCTGGGTATGCTCATCACAGTCGCATGCCTTCAGCTGGTATAGTAGAAGAAGAAGAAGAAGAGATTGGATTTATACCCCGCCCTTCACTACCCAAAGGAGTCTCAGAGCGGCTTACAAACTCCTTTCCCTTTCCCTCCCCACAACAGACACCCTGTGAGGCAGGTGGGGCTGAGAGAGCTCTTGACAGAAACTGCTCTTTTTCAAGAACAGCTCTTGTCAGAACTATGGCTTGCCCAAGGTCATCCAGCCAGGTGCAAGTGGAGGAGTGGGGAATCAAACCCGGTTCTCCCAGATTAGAGTCCATGCACTTAACCACTACACCAAACTGGATTGTTGCCAGCTCTGGGGGGGAAATATGTGGAGATTTGGGGGGTGGGTCCTCTGGACAGTGGGGTGTGCGAAGGGGAGGGACCTCAGCAGGGTTCAGTGCCACAGAGTCCACCTTCCAAAGCAGCCATTTTCTCCTGGGAAACTTATCTCTATCGTCTGGAGGTCAATTGTAATAGTGGGGGATCTCCAGGCCGCACCTGGAGGCTGGTAACCCTAGCTAGTAGGCACAAACTTCTGTTGCCAGTCTTGTGGCTGCACAGAGAGCAAACCCTCCCCTTTCTTTGCAAAGGGAAACCAAACAGTATCTCATCCCCAGAGCTAAGATGTCATCCTCCCGCCACCCCACGGTAGCCATTTTGTGCTAGTGGCCCCTCTATGGCAGCCATTTTATGATGGCCCCACGATCTTTTTCAAATGTTCCCACAGGCTCAGCAAGACTGGGGGACACCCTGATTTTAACCGTACTTTCTGTGTATATCTCTCAGAACGTTTTATATTTCTGATGCGTTTCTCAAAGGGCAGAGCATGTGATATGCCTAAGTCTACATTTGACTTTATGATGCACTTTGAGAGAAATAAATGTGTCACTGCAGAAGTTTCTGGCACCGAGGTTACCGGAGATATTTTCAGTAGGTTAGTTCAGAGGAGTGGGCTTTGTTAAGAAGAGAATCCTGGAAAAGGGACTTGAGAAATCTTCTGGAGCTTGACAGAGTGACTTAAAATGAAGGAGGGATCTGTTATTCTCCCCGAAGTCTTTGTACCAAATGAGATGAAGAGTTTCAAGAAGATGCTACTCTGAAAAGAGCCCTGATTTTAAGGCTGGAGGGGCACCGGAATGGCCTTGGGAAGTTGTTGGTAACTTTAAAGCTCCCTCTAAGCTGTGGAGTCTTGTGAGCAAAAATTCTACTTTGCGAGCTCCTGGCATTAAAGTTGTGAGCGAGCGATTTGGCTACTGCATAAGTTCGTTTGCTCTGGAGCCATTCTTCCTGAGCGAAGACAAAAATGTGTGAGCCGGAGGCTAAAGAACTGTGAGCTAGCTCACACTAACTCAGCTTAGAGGGAACACTGTCACTGTAGACTTTT